GATCTATATTAACGATTTGTCTTTCTTTATCATATAGCGATCAAAGTGCCTTTGTCATAGATACGTTTATAGTTCTGGTATCACTGTTTGTTTATTTTAAATCTATCTTATTTATATGTATTAGGAACTTCAGTATAGCTACTAATAAATATATCCTCTTAGACTACATTTTGAATTTTAATATTTTGCAAAATTTTATAACACAAGTACCAAGGTAAAATATATGCATATCTTTCACTAGTTTCAAGGTTGGATATTATAAATTGAACTTCATCCTTTGAATATAAAAATTAAAAAATATAGTATAAAACACTAAAATGAGAGTAAAAAGGCATTATAAAATTATAAGTTTAATTTACGGCTAAATCAAAAATGCGTAGCTCTTGCTCGCAACTCACTAACACTATACAATTTACTAATGCATAAATTTGACTAGAGGCTTCTCATTAATCATTTTGGCCAATTTATTCATAAAATTTTCACCTACTTAGGCAAATGCCTATACATTCTATTCTCAAGCCTCTCGTAGAACCCTCTTGTATATGAAAGTATATCCAGTGAATATAAACTATCCTATTTCAAAGTGAAAATAAGGATTATATAGTGGACTTATGCTAGACGGAATGTTTGATGGGTGTTTTCTTGAATATGGAATTGTAAAATTTCATTGAAAAAATCGATATAATTAAGAATTCCTTTATGTAAAATTTAATCTATAGGCCTCTAGACAGATACTATTCTGAAAGAATTATGCAGCAAATCAATATTTCTGAAGAAGTTTTCTAGTCACATATGGCGAGAAGGGACTGATATTTGAATTTTCCCACAAGTATATTGTTAACCCTTACGTTTCCATTAAATTCCACTAAGTTTTGCTTAGAACAGAATCTTTCACGGCAGAACACGGCTAGGTCTCATTCGCTTTTCCAGTAAGAGTCGACTTGGGTTAGTTCAACTCATAAAAAGGACACGTTTCCACCACGCGACACTACCACGAGTACCCAAAGATACAGGGCAAATATGAATTTCAAAGAGGGTCATGCCCCTTAAATTCTGCATCTATAGTAGATTATCTATATGAAAATCGTGTATTTGCCTTAACACTAGACTAAATTACCCACATACCTTCAGAATGAACACTAAATCTTTAAGTAAGGTTCTAGACACTCTAGCTCACATTAGGTGATAAAAGGATAATAATTGAATTTTACCAAAATGAAGTTTTTATGCTACACAATGCCATTTAATTTCCCTTAGCCTTGCATTACAAAGGCATTTTCATCCAGAAGGTACTTTAATATTGTTCCCTTCTAAATTTCATCAACTATCTCCTTATAATCGATGGATCATATTGCTAGGAAGACTTAGAGGAATGCGACTAGCCCGGAGTTCATTGTCTGCATGATCATTTCCAAAGTCGAACCTCGGACGTGGTACATTTCCAAACGTTTCGTCTATGACTTGTTATGCCTTAGTCTCTTGTGTGCCAACCCACACATGTTGTGAATCAACATTGAACCAAATCAAAACAAGGTGTACCACAACATTTGTGGGTTGGCACACAAGAGCCTAGGGCATGGGAAGTCATAGACTTGGTATTAGGGATAGAAACAGGATAGAGACGGCGGGGACTGGAGCTAGTTGGCTGACGGTAATTCTGTTGTGCCAGAGAGGTGGTCCATGCAGCAAAGGGGAGGCCATGACACTTAGAGGCTTGCGCCTCGATTGGGATAAGACTAGGAAGGAGGACTGCATAATAATAAAGCAGACTCTGAACAAGGATGAAGGGGAGGGGGTCAGAACGACAGTTGGAGTGTGAAGGCTTCATGTCGCTCAAAGGGGCACCTACGCTATCTAAATAAACACGGTAAACAATTGTAATAGTGAAGGTATGATAGGATGATACAGGAAACGCGAATAACCCAGGGCAGAAGGGGAGATATTACAATTGTTTAGCACACGTTTGGTCACTTCACTTGTCTCTTTGACGAGTTGTTGTGTGGTGCTAAGAATGGCGATACTCACTGACATGCCGGCGAAACGTTTGGGAATGTACCACGTTCACGGTTCAACTTTGGAAATGATTATGCAGACAATGGACCCCGGACTAGGTGGGCTTCTCTAAGTCTTCCTACCAATATGGCCAACTTGCGAAAACAAGGTCAAACAACCCCTATCTCTTTAGATTTGGAATATGGAGGAGGTATAGCCTGCCTTAAACTTTCCGTTCGCCCAGTGACATTCTGGTACTCCTGATAGTATGCTATAATGGTAGCATATCAAAACTATTCGCTACTGTGTCCTGTCTTAATTTGCATTAGGTGTACTAGTTCTTTCTGGATTTTATGACCTTTTGGAATGCAAGGGTAAGTGAAATTCTATGGCATTTCGGCGCATAGTCATATCATTTTGGGGCAATCCGACTACCAATACCGCATTAATTCTACTATGATGACTAGAAATATTGTTTGAGAAGTTCCTATTCTCTTGCCAGAAGTTCGGCAAGATTTTAATGCATATTTTATCTTTTGTTAAGTTTGCTCAGACTATTCTTTGACAATTAGGTATTTTTAATTTGCCTCAAATGACAAAGAAATCTACTTAGCATATAACTATAGGTCAGTTGTCGTAGACGGTGTGTAGAGAGTATTAAAATTAAAAAATCTAAATCACTGCACGAAGCCTATTGCTAATTATTTTCAGGAAAGGTTTGAATTTCAAAATAATTTATAATGCTTCTATATTTATTCTCGCTTAGACACTTTATTTTTAAGGGGTAAAATCCCCAGCATTTTATCTTATTGAAATTGAACGCAGTTAGTTTTTGATTTTCTATTTTTTCTTCATCGAATGTAGAGATGCACATCTTGGGTATAATCTACTCGTCCTTTATTAGCAAAATAAGATGTTAGTAATTTCTTTTTATCATCAAATCGAACAAATTGTATTAAATCATTATATATAGGATTTAACTTATACTAAAGTATCGTGAATTAAATAAACTTTATGAGGCTAATTCAGGTAAATTTCTAAGAAACTCAAGCATATTAGGTACTGAATCATCAAATCGATTCGTAATGATCAATAATATAGTCCTTTTAAAAAGTTGAAAGACTTTCGAAATAGGCAAGTATTTTATACATAACGTATATGAATAAATATATATACTCGATTTTATTCTTTGTTACCTATAATATAGAGGCTAAAACAAAAATTAAATGCAGTTATTTTAAATTAATAATCTAAATAACTTGAGAGTAGCACCCAGTCTAATTTACCAAGCTGTCATGCTTAATCATTTCCCTCAGAATTCTAAATAATTACTGGATGAAAGATTGCGATTGTAATTGGTTCACTTCCACATTTCTTTACCTATAAATATTATTTAGAACCTCTTACCTGGTTAACCATTTCCGAAACTGGACTAATATCAAGAAGTATAAGATCTCTGGAATCAATTGGGGGGCCGTTTTCGCGCAATGTAGTGGTATTGTTTGAGTCAATTTCACGCAGCTTTAACAGTTCAAAATAAGAAACTAGGCTAGCTGGAAGCACAGCTTGATGCAGGATGGTGGTCATGTGAGATCTAATTGAGTGTAATCGGCGATGACAACGCAATGGGCATCCCTGTACTCCGTCGCCTTCCTGCATTGAGCCGGGAAATTTTTCAATAACCTGACATGCAATAAATCATTAAAAACATTGCAAATATGATAGAGTTAATAGCATCGAGCGCAGCATGACAGTGTGCACTGTGTCGCACGGGAACTAAGCCAATGTTGTCGCCACATCGAGCCTCTCCTTTGAGCCAGTCAGAACGTGGCACTAAAAGTACACAAGAGTATTTTAAGTCGGAAAGTAGCTCGACTGTGAACTGTGCCCCCCATTGTTTCGCCTTGCGCCATCGTCATTCTTTGTAACCAAACGCTGCCCTCTTGCACCAAAACCACACTCCAACAACGTCCGAGTTTTTCCCATATCGAGTTCCTCACCTC